ATTAGCCACAAGGTATAGATAGGGGCTCTGGGGCAAGTGATGCTCTGTCTTCTTGGTGCTTGGGGGGGGTCAACAGTGGGAGGGCTTCTAATGTCCTGGCCCCACTGGTGGACCTCCTGATGGCACCTGGTATTTCTGGCCACTGTGTGATACAGAGTGTTGGACTGGATGGGCCTTTGGCCTGATCCAACATTGTCGTCTCTTATGTTCTTATGTTTCCAACGCTGTGGCGATTGGCCAAAGGAGTCCACAGGTTCTTACACCCAGCACACAATCTCCTCCAGGTGGGCCCTTATCTGCCACCCTGACATCCAGTCCCCACACCTGACTGCATGGCTCATTCTGCCCTAAACAAGCTATCTAAAAGAATCAAAGTCATAGTTGCATCCCATAGGCCTTCCAGTTGAAGATCTTATTTTTTGAAATGGAAGAGGTTCACAAAGTAAGCAGAGGACCAAGGTGTGAGACCAGAATCCTGTGATTTATCTAAAATATTTGACTATTTGTTGATGTTAAAGGATGGAGGTTTAGCCTCCTTGTCTATCAAGGTTCACTTAACGGCCATCTCCACCTTTCATAAGAGCATTGGGGGATCTTCTGTGTTTTCAGTTCCTGACTCAAAAAAGTTCCTTAAAGGTTTACATAATTTGTACTCTCCTGTTGTGTACCCAGTAGCACAATGGAGTTTGTCTCTTGTTTTAGAAAGTTAATGTACAGACCCTTTGAACCACAATGCGTAAGTCTGACCTGTCTTTCTTGTCACATAAAATGGCGTTTCTGGTAGCAATTATGTCTGCTTGCAGAGTGGGGGAACTGAGGGTCTTAAGCTGTGACCTACCCTTTACCAAGTTCCACACAGACAAAGAACCAGTTTGGCCTTCTTACCGAAGGTAGTTTCTCATTTTCACATAAATCAGGACATCACCCTCCCAGTGTTTTCCCTTCCCCAACTTCCCCGTCTGAACAGACATAGAAGAAGAAGAGGAGGAGGAGGAGGAAGAGGAGATTGGATTCGGGGCTTGCCTTGCAATGGCTTGGCTCCTTTCTCCAAGGTTGGGGACAGAGGGTGGTGTTAGGGGATCAGACGTCCCAGAGGCACACACTGACTTGCGGAGTTCCCCAAGGGGTGATGCTATCTCCGATGCTATTTAACATCTACATGCGCCCCCTTGCCCAGAGGTACAGGCTAGGGTGTCACCAATATGCAGATGACACCCAGCTATATCTATTGTTGGGCGGTCAGTCCAACTCTACCCCAGATGACCTGGACTGGGTGCTTCAAGACGTGGCAGGCTGGCTTAGACTGAACTGATTAAAATTGAATCCGACAAAGATGGAGGTCCTGTGCCTGAGTCAGAGTGGGTTGGGGGTAGGGCTCCCACTACTGGCCTTCAATGGGTTGCCATTGGTGCCAGCACCAAAGGTCAGGAGCTTGGGAGTGCTCCTGGATGCCGCCTTAACAATGGAGGCCCAGATAGCAGCCACTGCCAAGGCAGCCTTTTACCATCTATGACTGATTAGGCAGTTGGTTCCCTTCCTCGAATGCAGTGACCTGGCAACAGTGATCCATGCTATGGTCACCTCAAGATTGGACTACTGCAATGCTCTCTACACGGGGCTGCCCTTGTCCTAAATCCAGAAGCTGCAGCTAGTGCAAAATGCAGCAGCCAGGCTGTTGATGGGTCTCTCTATATGAGAACACATCTGGCCTGTGCTGAAGGCATTGCACTGGCTGCCAGTAGCATACTGGATTTGCTTCAAGGTGCTGTTTTTGACCTTTAAAGCCCTATATGGTCGGGGGCCTGCCTACCTAAGGGACCGCCTTTTCCCATATGTTCCCCAGAGAGCACTGAGGCCAGGGTCACAAAATTGCCTGACTCTCTCTGGTCCAAGAGGCGCCAGATTGGCTGCAACCAGAGCCTAGGGCCTTTTCAGTGGCGGCTCCACACTGGTGGAATGAGCTCCCAGAAGACATCAGGACCCTGTGGGACCTTTTACAGTTCTGCAGGGCCTGTAAAACAGAGCTCTTCCACCAGGCCTTTGATTAGGAGCCGCCACTGATGAATGAGCTATTAAAAACTGAATTTTTATTGCCCTCATGCTACTGGCACTAAGAACAACTATGGATACTGTCCTCGCTACACCGGACCATCATACAGCAATCGCCATCTGCACTGAACTGCACTTTGTATGTATATTTTTTGCTTATGTGAATTTTATAGTACTGCATATATGCATCCGTGTTTTATTGTATTTTAACCTGTTGTATGCCGCCTTGAGCCTGCCTGTGCAGGAAGGGCAGGATATAAATCTAAAATAGTAAATAAATAAATAAATTTATACCCTGCCCTTCACTTGGAGTCTCAGAGCAGCTTACAGTCTCCTTTCCCTTCCCCTCCCCACAACAGACACCCTGTGAAGTAGGTGGGGCTGAGAGAGCTCTTTTGAGGACTGCTCTTGAGAGGACAGCTCTGAAAGAAGTTGCGACTGACCCAAGGTCACACCATCAGCTGCATGTGGAGGAGCGGTGAATCAAACCTGGTTTCCACTCTCCGAACGGGTGCACTAGATGTTAGGACAGCACTGCTTTTTTATTTAAAGTGTAAAACAGACTTCAGAAAAGACATGAACTTATTCATTAGCTTTAGAGGTGCAAATGAGGGTAAGGCAGCATCTGCACAGTCTTTATCAAGATGGGTGGTGTTGACAAACAAAATAGCCTACAAAGAGGCAGGCATACCTTGTCCCATTGCATTGAGGGCACATTCCAGAAGAGTCCAAGCTTCCTCTGCAGCGTTCCTGTCCAGGCTTCCCTTATATGACATCTGCAAGGCAGCTACCTGATCAATACCCTCAATATTTGTGCAACACTACTCCATGGACATAGACCCTCAGAGTGAGGCAGTTGTTGGGAAAGCGGTCCTACAATTGATCTTCTGTTGATCAGCCCACACCCGCCTCTTTGGTAAGTGATCATGCTAATCTCCCATGAGGACTGCACAGAAGCCATGATGATGAAAACAGGGTTGCACTTACCTGTAACCATTGTTCATCAAGTGGTTTTCTGTGCAGGCACACAGCCCTTCCTCCTATCCCTGCTGAGGGTTGCTCTGCCATTACCTCTTTGCAGCTCCTTATGGCAGCGAAGGGAGAACTGAGGGGAGAGTGCTCGGCCTTCCTTTGTCACATGACCCTTTGGGTGGGAGAGGAGTTACTGGAGATGGAGGGGAGGGGGAGCACTCTCAGGATCTGGAAAGTTCTATTAAGCATGGAAGCTCTTTCTCTGTGGCTGGCCTGCAACTGTGCAGTCCCCATGTATGCCTGCACAGAAGACCAGTTGATGAACAATGGTTACAGGTAAGTGTAACCCCATTTTGCTCTTTTGAACAAAAATGTTGACCAGTTCCACATGGGGTACCTGTCCATGTTTCAATGTTATTGGGAAGTATTTCTTTTCCTGCTTCCCCACAGCACCGTAGTTTTGGGAAAGACTTCAGCAAAGCCTGGATGGCTGCTATGAGGATGGGAAAGTTCAGTTTCTTCTGTTCACATGACAGTCATTTTGCTTGATCCTATCCCCATGGTGGCTTCTTTTATCTTTTTAAAAATTGGCAAAACCACACCGTATGCATATTTTGTCAATTTCTCAATCACAATAACTATAGGTTACCACAAAGTTAGAGTCCAGTGGCACCTTTAAGACCAACATTTTTTTATTCCAGATGTGAGCTTTCATGTGCATGCACATTTTGTCTGATGAAGTGTGCATGCACACGAAAGCTCACATCTTGACTAAAAATTTGTTGGTCTTTAAGGTGCCATTGGACTCTAACTTTGTTGTATTGCTTCAGACCAACACAGCTGTCCACCCTGATATAGGTTACCACACTCCAGCCTCAGGTGCAATCTCCCTTCTGCCATTTTGTATGAATGCGGTGCATGCTTGTCACTATGGCATATTCTGTAATCAGTAAAGCTGCAGCTGTGTTTTTGAAGCACATTGATGTTATGTCTCTTCCCTGTTACCTGGCTTGAAACAAGCCCACAGTAAATTAGCAGAGAGTACAGTTTGATCAGCTCTTCCTGGCCTCCCAGCCTCTATTGGATTTATTTCTAACAATATCAGTATCAATATACCATTATAAAAATAGATGCAACAGGTAGGGATGGGCACAAACTGGGGAAAGGGAGGTTTGTTTTGGCCACAGAAACCACGAACCTCCAAGGACCTTCCTGTTTACTGAATCGGTTCATTTTGTGAAGTTCTTGATGTGGTAGAATGGCCCCCCTGTGGACTAGAGACGCCAGACTCGTGAGTCTCCAGCTGACTTGCCTCTACCTGCCCTCCAAGTTCGGTGAGGATTGGCTTTGGGGGATAGAGTAGCAGATCATGATGAAGTTTGTGCCGATCCCTAGTAACAGCTTTTCTGAATTACCAGCATGTATTTTTAAAGAAGTAAGTCTCTAGCTTCTTTCTTTGAAGAGATATAAGGGGAAAGATGTATCTCTGCAATGGAAGGAATTAGAGACTTACTTTGTTTTAAAAGCTCGGTATTCAGAGAACCTGAACACATATTTTATATCAATGGTATATTTATAACAGTATTCAGTTGCTGATTTTTTAAAAGCAGCAATAGCCCAAGGGAGGAGGGATGGCTGCTGCTGGGGGACTGGGGCATGGAAACTGCCGGGAGATCTGCCGTGTGGAAACTCTGACCCTGCGATGGATCTGCAGCTACACCATTAACCTGATACTCGCTTTTTAATGATCTAGATATCATTTTAATTATTTGGAGATTAATGCATTTACAATATTTTGTGATCCTTATTTAATCTGAGCCTTTAAAATTTAATATCTTTATTGTAATAGTAAGAATCTGGATATCATTGTGTATGGCATATTAAGGGAAAATATTTCACCTCTACAAAAAAAGACAACATTCCA